TTTAAGAGACTGAGCTGAAAACAGCACCTCAGACTAAGGAAGTCTCTCGGATGAGAGACGAAACGTTTCTATTTTTTTTTGCTTTGTTTTGTTTTTTGTCTTTTTGAATGTCCAGAGGACCAGATTGAACTTTTTTGGACTCAATCATTATGTACAACAATCAAATGTTTTAGGCCAGATGGCCAACTTGCTATTCACAGAAACAGCCTTAGGACAACCAAGGCCAAAGTGGTTCAGAAGAAGAGTTGTATGCTCATTCATCCAGGTAGATAACAACAAAAAAGGTCAAATCGTGTACCCGTAATCAGGAAACGTCACCTGTTTGAAACATGTGCAAATGCAGAGCTACCTCCATTATAGGTGGAACGACGCAGCCCACATTATTATCCGTGCTGTTCATTCTATTTGGGAGAAAAGGTACTTTTACTCCACGTGGAAACAAAACTTTTCCATGTAGAGTTTGTATGTTTTTCACATTCATGTGTTGGTTTGCTTCAGGTACTCTGGTTTCCTTCCACTGATCAAAAGTCTGCATGTTATGTTCAATGGAAATTCTAAACGGACAGTTGCTGGTCCTGTGAAGGACTGGCCTGTGTCGGGTGTAGCCCAGCTCTCATCTGCTGAGTGCCGGAGTAGGTTTCACATTGAACAGAGCAAATCAGAAGAAGGGAGAGGGACTGAGTAAACTTCACTTGCTGGTGACATTTCAGGAAAGAACAGCTTTAATATCCATCCATCCATCCATTATCTTTACCCGTTTATTCCATTTTGGGTCACGGGGGTCGCTGGTGCCCATGTCCAGCAATCACTGTGCGAGGGGCGGGGTACACCCTGGACGGGTCGCAAGTCCATCACAGAGACACATCGAGACAAACGAGACAAACAACCATTCACTCTCTCACACCTAGGGACAATTTAGAGTTACCAATCAGCCTAACATGCATGTTTTTGGTCTGTGGGAGGAAACCGGAGTACCCGGAGAAAACCCACGCATGCATGGAGAGAACATGCAAACTCCACCCAGAAGGCCCCTGGACCGGAGTTTGAACCAGGGACCTGTTCGCTGAGAGGCAGCAGCTCTACCAGTTGCGCCACCGTGCTGCCCCAGCTTTAATATATTTCATGAAATGTGGTGGAGAAATTGTGTCTCTGAATAGTTTCTGACAATGAACAATAAGTTTTTTAGGTTTTGTTTCAAGCAGAAAAATGCAAATCTATTTTAAACTTTCTCTGATCTTCCTTACTCTTTTTTTTTTTTAAATGATGTACTGTAGTTCAAAAAAATTCTCACACATATGTTGACAAATGGGCAGCACTGTGGCACAACTGGTAGAGCTGCTGCCTCTCAACGAGCAGGTCCTTGGTTCAAACCCCGGTCCAGGGGCCTTTCTGGGTGGAGTTTGCCTGTTCTCTCCGTGCATGCGTGGGTTTTCTCCGGGTACTCTGGTTTCCTCCCACAGACCAAAAAACATGCATGTTAGGCTGATTGGTAACTCTAAATTGTCCCTAGGTGTGAGTGAATGGTTGTTTGTCTCGTTTGTCTCTATGTGGCCCTGTGATGGACTTGCAACCGGTCCAGGGTGTACCCCGCCCCTCACACAGTGATTGCTGGACATGGGCACCGGCGACCCCCGTGACCCAAAATGGAATAAGCGGGTAAAGAAAATGGATGGATGGATGGATGGAATAAAAGTTAACATTAATTTAGGAAAGAATAAATTGTTCTTTCACATTTTCCATTCTATCCAAGCAATGAGAAATTTGGGCGTTGAGGGTGAGGGTGCTGCAGCACTCTGATGAATTACAGAGAATATCCGTCCAATATTATTAAAAAATATTTGTTTTAAGTGTGTGCATTTGGGTGCATTGAATCATCGATTTGATTCTAATAATTATTATTAATAATAATTTTAATGTTTTTGAGTTTTACATAACTAGTATACAATGCATCACTGTATTTGTATGTGCAAAAATCTACAATCACCTAAAACCTAAAAACAGTGGCAGGTTACCAAGTCCTGATTGTATTTTTATAGATAATTCTTGTCCAATATATGTGTGGGAGTGGTGGCGCAGAGGTTAGATAAGGTGGGCCTGTGATTGGAAGATCGCTGATTCAACTCCCAGTACCGACAACATCAAAATGTGGGTGGGATAGGTGAAGCACCCATACCTGTCTCCACCCTCATTTACCCCAGAGAGATGTTGTAGCTCAGAGGTCTGTGGTTGCGTCAGGAAGGGCATCCGGCATAAAAAAATAATTGCAAAGTCTTCATGTGACTTAGTTCACTGTGGCGACTCCTGAAAAAGGGAGCAGCCAAAAGAAGAAGAAAATAAAAATAAAAATTATCCGATATACCTGTATACATAATGTTTTATTGTCAGTGAGCATTTCACAATACATGTTTCCTGTTATATTTTTTTCTTTAAGGGTGTTTGGGGTCATACAGATTCATACACGTTCACAGCGCCACCAAACTGAAACATATTCCAACAACTTTACTTCTGTTCAGATTTAGGATTGGATTTTGTCTGTTGAATATCTCATTTATATACGAGCGGCATATATTTCTCATATTTTGGTACCTAATGTTAAAGCTGATTTCTCCTCATCAACAGCTGTGTTTTTCTTTGATTTTGTTTTATTGATTAAGTTCTGTCATGGCTCCTCTTAAATTTGCAGATGTTAACCTTTTTTTTTGTAATCAGGACCTTGATGTTTGTGAAACATTAATTTGCTTTATGCCCTCTGCTGTGTACAGTCAGTTTACAAAAGGCTATTTAAATCGTGTTTTTGACCAAATAGGGTCTTTAAAGATAGTATTTTGTATTTTTTATCAGCTTTTTCATACATCATATATCTAATATAACTCTTCTTTCCTTCCAGTAAATGTTTGAATATTAATTTCATTGCAGACAATATGCAATAATATTCATCTAACATAGCATGTAGGCAATCTCCAGCAGCTTTGATCCTCTGGCAAATGTTATAATGTAGAGAATAAAAAATAAATTTTGACACACTTTTAAGGTAACAGTATTTTAATGCTGAAACTCTACTCCAATGGAAACTGCAGTACATTATGTTTCAGTACACACTTAAATAGAAACTTTTTAAAAGCCTGACCCAATTTATTTTTATTCAGTCCTATTTTAGCTGTTAAAATAGGAGGTAATTTTTAATTACATTTGTGCCTTGGCAGTGAGTTATTTTCAGTATATAAATAGTATTCCATTTGGATTTTAACAGCCCTATAAATAGGAACCTTGTGAGGAGGAATGGCACCAAAATGTCAGAGGAGTCCAACTTACCAAAGCATCACAGCACCACTTAGTGGTTGAAGTTCATGTTGGAAAGAAAATTAGACATCCATCCATCCATCCAGCCAGCCATCCATCCTTTATCTTCACACGCTTCTTCTTTTTTGAGTCACAGGGATCACGGTGCCCATATCCAGCAGTCACTGTGTGAGAGGCAGAGTACACCCTGGACAGGTCGCAAGTCCATCAGTGAGCTACATGGAGACAAACGAGAAAAACAACCGTTCACTCTCTCACTCAAACCGAAGGACAATTTTGAATTACCAGTCAGTCTAACAGGTATGCTTTTGGTAGGAAATTGGAATACCCATAGGAACCTAGGAATGCACGGAGAGAACATGCAAACTCCACCCAGAACGGCCCTTGGCCGGGATTGATCCGGTGACCTTCTCGCTGAGAGGCAGCGGCTCTACCAACTGAGCCACTATGCCACCAAATAAGGCAACAGGTGGAAGGTAAAATCATGCAATCTGGACATCTCTGTGTTCATTTACTCATTTACTGAACCAAATTCAGCCTCAAAATGATTTTCTTTAAACCCAAATTTATAGATGAACAGTTAAAAGACTTATCTTACTTTGAATGGATTTTTAAGAAAAACATAACCAAAGTAAATATGAAAAATAGCGTGCGCGCACACACACACGCACGCACGCACGCATGCACGCACACACACACACACACACACACAGTATGTGTTTTATTTCATTTTATTTTTTCCTGTGTGTAGTTTCTAGAGTGGGCTGCACGGTGGCGCAGCTGATACCTGGATGATGGAGCATGAACTTTGTTGTCTCTCTGTGAGCAGGTTACCCTGGTTCAAAATCAAGTCCCGGTCCAGGGGCCTTTCTTGGTGGAGTTTGTATGTTCTCTCCGTGCATGCGTGGGATTTCTCTGGGTACTCCGGTTTCCTCCCACAGACCAAAAACATGCATGCTAGGCTGATTGGTAACTCTAAATTGCCCATATGTGAGAGTGAGAGAGTGAATGGTTGTTTGTCTCTATGTGTCCCTGTGATGGACTGGAGACCTGTCCATGGTGTACCTCGCCTCTCGCACAGTGATTGCTGGACACGGGCACCAGTGACCTCCACGACTCCCCAAAAAAGAAGCAGGTAAAAGATAATGGATGGATGGATGGATGGATGGATGGATGGATGGATGGATGGATG